TATAAATTTTGATGAGATAAAAGAAATTTTATGAATTAGCTTATTTATAGTACTATGAATGTTTTAGTAGCTCTTTAGTCTGCTATTTATGATGACCAACTCTAACATAAAACATATTTCAACGGCCCCAATCAAGTTCAACTTATTGATGTGTTAACTATCATAAAATAGGATTGATAGCCTTTTTTATTGCGTTATCTCACATGATTTTTTATTAACATGAAGAGCATCTAATTCATTTGAAACATGGCTAACAAGTTGGACAAGAAAAAATCTATAAAAAGAACACCAATTTGACCCATTGCAGTTTAAAAGCTATCATTCGCCTTCTTTAATCAACATCAAGGCTAACTTCATCAATAGGCAGGACAGACCAAAATATTTTAGGGTGGGCAATTGCACATCTTTAAAATTAATATTGTTATTAAATATTGTTGCGGGCTAGAATATGCGCGGAGATAGACTTAGAATTTTTTGTCTTAGCGTTGTATGGAATTCAGCACACAAACAGAAGAGAAATAAAATACCATGATTTTTATGTGGAAAGCCCAGGAAAGGGAAAAACTACGGGGTCATGCCCAATTAAAAGAATTCCACTGGTGTTTGTTTGAATTACAAGAAGATGAATCGTCCTTGAAACTTAGGATGATCAGATTACAATGATCAACTCTCGGATTAAAATTCAGTTGCAAACGGATATCAAAATACTGATGTCAGAAAATTGGTGTCTGTTGTTTGTCGAATAGAGTTCTAACGTTACTTGGAAGTCGGGAGGAATTCTGGCATCACTTGGAGGTCGAACGAAACTTCAGTATCACTTGAAAGTCGGGAGGAATTTCGCTGTTACTTGGAGATCGGACGAAACTCTAGTGTCACTTGAAGGTTGGGCAAAACTCTGACGTCTTTTGAAAGTCGGGAGGAACTCCGTTGTTACTTGTAGATCGGGCGGAACTACAGCGTCACTTGAAAGTCAAGCAGAAATCCGACGGTGGTCGAGGAGGAGTTTCTTCCTTCTCTTCCTTCCTACTCTTCTTGCCTGGGTCCTCCTCTTAAGAGAAATGAGAGGCTATTTATAGTTTTATGAGAGTGGTATGACCCGTAAATAGGAGGATCAAGGGCAAATGGGGACTGATTTGGATGGACGGCCGATATTGAATCCCTTGATCGTGAACCATTCATCAGACATTTCAAGGTCTTAATGATATCGGAATTCGGCGATCTTAGGATCGTTAGATTCGTCTCGTCGAGCCGCTTGATTCGATTATATGCATATCATGTTTGGAAACTGTTTGGTAATCAAAATTGTGGTTTGAACCTTCCAATAGCACTTCAAGTCTTCAATTCATACTCATTTGGGCTCGTATTGAGTTGAATTTGGTGTCATTGGGTTCGTATTTTTTAGACGTTCAGTTTGACTATAAGTTTGGTGAAATCGGAGCTCAGATGTTCTCAGATTTAATTTTTAAAACTTCCAACTTGATTTTGCCTCAAGATTCGTGCCTGACCAAGATAATTTTTTGATTATATATCAAATATCTTGGACAATTTTGTAATTTTGCACAACCAAAATTATTTGTTTTGCTTGTTTGCCTTAACTAGGTTTGCAAAAACGTGTTTTACACAAATTTCATTAATTTTTTATGTACTCGCATTACAGCTTGGAAATCACTCATATAGTCTAATTAAATAGTTCTTTATTTCTAAATTTTACTATATACTTCCAAAATATCACTAAAAATTGAAAATTAATTCTTTGAACTTGAATATTATAAATTAATATCATGAGCTATAACTATAGTGAAAAGTGCATTTTCTATGATGAGGATTGTCAATCATTGCTTGTATTATAGGAAGAGCAATGAAATGACTATTTAATATATTACATTGGAAAAGAAGTATTTGATTTAATTTTTAATGAAAATGTAATGCAATATTATCCAAAAATATAAAATAGATTGAAAATTTTGTAATCAGTGTTCAGTTCATTAATCATAATGAAATACAATATTTTATTTTGAATTATATATTATCTATTATATTTTTTTTAAATATTAATTTATTTAAATGATAATTTTGTTCACCTTTAAAACGAGTCTTGTTATGCCCTTATCAATAGAAGCTGCAAGGACCAACTAATAAGCTTTACTCAATGGCTAGGATGAATTCTTCGATCACAACTTCATTCTTGAGGCAAGTTCTCTTGTAGATCCATGGATATGAGGCCAAGTAGATCGAGTTAACTTAGCATAAACTAAATTTTTGAACATTTGGATGCACATAAATGGTCCAAATTAATTTTCAAATGAATATAAATTAGGCCACCCTTGGATTAGAAGCACTTAAATTTATGAAAATTAATCATGTATTATTCCTTTCATTATTTTCAATAAAATCAAATTTGATTGTACAAAACTCATGTGAATAAAAGCTTGGTGTTTGCTATATAACTTTTTTTTTAACTTTTATTCAAAAAAGCACAAAAGATACAACAAAGTCAAAGACAGACAAGCCACACACCCTAGGCAGCCAAAACAGGAAAACAAAAATGAAAGAAAAAGGAACACATAAACAAGGAGAAGAAGGCACAACGGCCGTCAGGCTCAGTAAAGGCACAAACTTCGAACCACTCCAAATCCGGGCACGGACCATCCAGAGGAGTGAAAGAGCAAGGACCACCAACAACCAACCAACTTCCATCAGTGCTAAGAAGAATCACCGCCTAAGGTTTCCAACTAGCCACGGATTGGAACGATGAGCCCGAGCCACATCATTGCCCGAAAATCGCAAGCGAAATTCGCAAGGCCAACAAGATACTTAACCTGAAAAGGAATCAAAAATCTGAGAATAGGGGACAAAATAGCTGCACCTCACACATTATTTCTGACAGTGATTACCCCTACCACGAGAGACAGAACCAACAGGACGGTCCTTATGCATAGCAAACTTCACAGCAGGTTCATCCTCCCCACTACCCTCCAAAGAGGAATCAGATTAGCATTGAAGCCAATCAAGTTGCAACCTAACAGCCTCTCCCAAATTAGCATCATCAACCAAAGCCTTAGGAGATAACAATTTAACTAGGACATCAACAAAACTGCCAGCAATTTGGGTTAGAGACATAACAGGGGAATCAACATGGGCAGACACCAGGCCACCCCCAGACACATCCACTAGGTCAGGAGAAAGAGCAATAGGAAAGCGAGATGATCCGAGAAACCCACAGCCACATCAAGCCCAGCATGCCTAGGTAAACAGGACGGGGCAGACTCAACACCCAAATCGGATAAAACGGGACTGGAATTAATAACACAAACTACAAGACAACCTTTACTAGAGCAAACCCGATGTGACGCCCCAGGCATCCATAGTGAAAGGATTCGTCTGACATTCTGATCGAACTCCATTCCAGTTGCCTTGCTCGGACCTGAAATTGTTAACCACATATAATGAGCTTCAAAAAAGCCCAGCAGGTCACCAAAGCCTACAACTGAAATCAAAGCACGGTACTGGAAACAATATGCATGTCAGTCAATCAAATCCATAACAGTCTATTGCACATGATCAATGAATCTATGCAGATACAGAAATCAAATCAGTAGTCAATGCAGCGGTAGAAGAATCAATAAACAGTAGAAAATCAATCGATCAGTCAAATCAATTGTATCAAATCGAATCAATTAAAATAATATTATCTGGTCAATCGGTATGAAATCATCAAATCAATACAATAAAGCCCAGTTTATACTAGCAATGAATCAAATGCAGCAGTTCAATACAGTGTAGAAACAATACTATCAATCAATATCAATGAATCCATATCCATATCATAGCATCAATGAATCAATCACAGTATCCATATACATACAGTATCTATAACAGTAGCAATGCGCAGAATATAAATATCAATGAAATCGTACGATAACAGTAAATCCGTAAATCCGTTAGTAAAACCAAATCAATAAAGCAATAAATCCATCACGAGTCAATGCCGTACACATGCAATTCAATACAATAGTCTTACTGAACAAGTACGATCACTGGCTATCAATAATCCATAATGTTGTTGTAGATATCCATAGTGCTGTTGTAGAAATCCATATGTTGGTTCAATAAGAGTCGGCACTCTGTGCCCGTCGGCATATCAATCTCCTTATGACTCCCAATCATTATATCAATGATCAATAGTTTAAAGGAAAGCCCGTCGGCCCACCATCCTGTACAGGTCAAGTCAATCTCCAACCAACAGTTCAACCAGGTTTCACTTGTCTTTCAGTATCAATAATCAAATAATCACATTCGTATGCATATCAATTCAAATCATCAATTTCGGAAAATCAGAAATCGTACGAAAATTCAGCGGCATAACGGCAGTATACGGAATTTACACAAAAATTCCTAAAATCACAATTTTACCAAATTACCACAGAACGTTCACAACAATATTATAAGACTTCTATTCTACTGAAGCGATTTGCAATTTTTCCCATAAAAAATCCTGATCATACATTTATAAAGTAAAATCAATCTCTACCGTTCAATTTAGACCCTTCGTATTCATTATATTTCGGTTCTAATGCGTGAATGGATTAAATTTCATTTAATGATGAGGCCTTTACGAAAAAAATAATAATTTAACACTTTTTCATTCAATTTTCCAAATCTGCCTCTTAATGATTAATTTAATCTTTTAATGGATATTATGTTAATGTCAGAATATTAATTGATTAGTAATCCATGCATTGCACATTAACAAAATTATCAATTTTCATCAAACACATTTTTAATTAGTATTTCTGAAGAATAATAAAGATTTATATGCTATTGATTATGTATGAATCATATGTAAATATACAAAAGTTTTTTTTTTGGAATAAAATATACAAAAGTTACATGTAATATTCATAAAGCATTCAATATCTTTTATATAGGATCTCATGAATTAATTTTAAAAAAATATATAAGAAAAAAAAATCCCCTTTCCGATTTCCACAACCAGAAGCGCTTTTATGCTTTTTGAGGGGAAACTCGCTTTTGTTCAATTTCGCCTAAGTCGGTAATCGAGATTCGAGGCGTCTGTTACTTAGGGGAGCTGCGCTCTTTAATATCCCATTAATGATGACAACCATGATTTGCAGATCTGAGGATGCTTCAAGCCCTAAATTCTACGTCTTCTTCTTCCTTCTCCAAGCTCTTCGCATCCCGTTCTACTCTTCTCTGCTTTTTTCAGCTGTCAATCTCTTCCAATTCGAAGAAGATGGAGGAACATCGAACTCCATCTGCGGTTCAGGCTAATCTAGACTCCCGCTCCGGCCGCAAATCGGTGAGTGCTTCTTTCCATATCTTTTTTTTTGAAGCATTCAATAAAAAATGAAGTTTTTATTTGTGAATGGACGCGGAAGAAGTGGATTTTTAAAACTAAGTTCATATTTGAATTCGTTTCACTTGTTAAATCTCATTTGGATTGTGAAGAGGGGTGGAATCAGGAAGAGTTCAGGATGGACAGTATATACATATATAAAATTATCATTTTTTGATTATTTTGACCATTTCAATATATTCAGTTGTCGAAATTTTAGGGGGTGTTTGGTATCGGATTTATACCGGGATTTTAAGCAGGATTTACGGTAAATCCAGCCAAACGCAAAAAACGTCGACGTAAATCCGGCAAATCCGTAAATCCCGGATTTGCGGATTTACGCCGTAAATCCGCTAAATCCTGGAATACCTGTTCGACTGAATGTTTACAATGGAAGAATTTAGTCAGTTTACTTCATATCCAATCTTAGTACTGAGTATGATCATTATTCATATTAAATCTTGTTTAAACCTTAATCAATCTAAGGGGGTGTTTGGTTCGATACTGCTTATTTGACAGTGTTGTCTAGATTATTACTGAATCACGAGACTGCTAGTCACACAAGGAAATCGCAGCTTTACAACAGCCGCTTCATCTCCGCTTCCTTTGTGTAACGGCCCTGAACACAACTATCTTCTTCCTTGATTCATGCTACCAAGATTTACTAAATCCGGATTTACAGGATTTAGTAAATCCTACTAAAATTTAATCCAATCCTATACCAAACACCCCCTTAAGATTTTTTTTAATTTCATATAGAAGATTATACATTTCATAATACTATTTTGCCTTCCCTCGCAAGAAAGGTTGGTCCAGGACCATGATGATCAAATTATTTTGTCTGTATAAACTGGAATACCTGTTCGACTGAATGTTTACAATGGAAGAATTTAGTCAGTTTACTTCATATCCAATCTTAGTACTGAGTATGATCATTATTCATATTAAATCTTGTTTAAACCTTAATCAATCTAAGGGGATGTTTGGTTCGATGCTGCTTATGTGACAGTGTTGTCTAGATTATTACTGAATCACGAGACTGCTAGGCACACAAGGAAATCGCAGCTTTACAACAAGCCGCTTCATCTCCGTTGCCTTTGTGCAACGGCTCTGACCACAACTATCTTCTTCCTTGATTCACGTTAAATAAAATAGTTACTGTTATCTTCTCAAATCATGTAGAAATGTAATCAGCTATGAATACAATGCTTAGTAATTTCTTCACTGCTCAACTTTCACTGTTCTCCTCTGTTTGGTCTCACTTACCTTCTGTCATCTCCTTAGCATTCTTTCATATATAGCGTTGTAATATATTTTATCAAATGTAGTGTGTTGGCTTAAAAAAAAAAGAAAAAAAATGTAGTGTGTTGGCTTGATGCTATTTTACTTAACAATGTAGTGTTATTTGAAAAATTGACGCCGATTTTAATTTTTCTATTTGTTGTCATTTATTTTAGCTGTTGTGTAGTCTAACTCTACAATGTTTGAAATGGTACAATTGGAACTTGAGGCTTTTTTTTTGTAAGGTGATACCTAATCTTAAGGCGTTTAGAGGTGTAAGCCTTGTAATTAAAACATTAAATTAATAAAAAATATGAAGCTCATACTAACATCAACGTAAGGTCATAACAAGACAAAGTAAGATCATAACAATGTCTCTCACTCCCAAATCAACATGAACAATTAGTCTAAGGCACTAAGCTACTATGATTATAATTTATGAATTCAAAAGTCATCCTACTCTCATCACTTAGTGAGTCTTCATTTGAATCATCATTATAGTGAATTGATTTCCTCCTCCATCCTCCATTGTGTCAATTTCCTCCCAATCTTCCTCTTCATTATTTATCCCAACCATCATCCTCTTTCATAATTAATAAAAATCAATTAGAATGTTAACTAAAATTTAAAATAATGATTATGTTGATGATTATAATTTCAATTACATATAGGTTTATTATAACATTTTCTATTATTTATTCTCCTTACTCCATCAAAAGAAATCAACATTGAGGATTTTCCCTTGCAATTGTTATGGTGTAACTTACTTGTCATTCTAAACATATTCATCATCTGATAACATGTGATTTCAAACTAATGGATCTTCATCATCCTCCAAAACAGTTTTTTTCTTCAAATATTTATCTTGTAATCTCGTATTGTGCATAGTATAAACTAATGTGTTCATCTTTAAGATAGGTAAATGATTTCTCCCATTTTTATGAATTTCGTTATACATACTTCAATTTTGCTCACACTCATTGATGAGCATGTAAGACCCAATACTTCGATTAGAAATCTTTGTAGTTCTTGAGTGCTATTTCCAAATTGAATTCATTACTCAACCCTTTTTTAAAACACAATTAAGATAGTATAGAAATTTTGTAAAACTTAACAAAAAAAATTTTAAAAAGTTCACAAGTAACATTTTTCTGCTATATATTTGGTTTGTTGTAATCTAAATAATTCTTCGTTATTTCTAATAGCTATAAGTTGATTATCAGCTTTTTCCCTTTCAGTTGAGTCATCAATTAATTTATCTTCACAGTGGTACAAACTAAAAACCAAATTTGATCTCTGGATTAGTTGGCTTATTCTCACTTCTTAATGTTAAGGATTCAAATTAGAGTCCATGAAGTGCAAATTTTGATGCAGTTGAAGCTCCCATTTCTCATCTATAATTTCTCAAAATTTCATGTAGTTGGATTTATCTCCTTCTAAATTCTGTGCTATCCATTCCTTTATATCTTCCATCATATTATAAATGAAACCCATAACAAGCTTTTTCTTTGTATAAATCATTCTTAAAATATGAACCAAGGGCTTAATTATTGTAATAGCATGCCATATGAACCAAAATCTATCACACAAAACAATCTTTATGACTTTCTTACCTTTAAGATTTTTAACACAAACACAATTTAACTATTGTGTGGAGAATATAGCCCCTCATTTAGCCCGTAGGTAATAGATGACGAGTATCTCTAGTCAATACCATAGCACCTTGCAAAGCTATTGATTTTAATCGACTTGAATGCAGACCAAAAATCAACTATGATTGTAAATGAACTTGCTAATCTTCTTGGCTTTAGTCAAGATGTTCTATGGTAAAGCAGCTCTCTAATTTTTTTAGGATTAAGTCAATACAATGTGCGGCATGTTGAGTTCAATACATATACTTTTTCTTCTTCATAACTTATTTCCAGTTGCCTTGTATTTACTAGCATTGTTAGTAACAACTTGGTTTTGTAAATTCTCTCCAATCTCCTCTATAACTCCATAAATAAGTTTGAAACTGTACTTTGAATCCTTTATCTAATCTAATGCTTCAATGACTTTAGGAAAATAGTGTTGTGGGATTTTTTATTAGAATGATGATCAAATTTCTATTTTTAATGTCAGACCAATGTACTTGTAACTCTAGTTTATCCCCAAGTTCTCTTAATCTTCACAATAAGTTTGTCAATGCTATTTTGTTCTTCATTTAAAATCCAAGTCTTAAGCTCATACTTGGATGGAGGTTTAATGACTTAACTATATGAACATACAGGTCGAATCATGTGACATATGGTGAGGAAGTTATCATATTATGTGGAATTTCATTTTTATTCAATGTCCATATGAACCCACTTGTGAGCATCTCTTGCATGTTGTGGAAACATTTGATTGGGTACCCTCCTACCATCATTCTTGTCATCTTCCATATTCATTATATATTCAATCTTGGTTCCCTTGCATCTTTATTGGATATTTGTGGCAAGGAAGAAGAAACATATTTACCACTAGACCGACTACCATTATAACCTCTGCTATCAACTATATCATCAAACTATCATTGTGTCAAATACTGACATAGTCGCTTTGTTCTTATAAGCATAAATCTCAACTTTTATGTATTAAGGCAATTTAACACATTATGCATCATTTTTATGAGAATAAGAAAATGTTCTTTCATTTTAGTTACACCATCTTTAACCACTTTATTACAATATTTGCTCTTTAAATAGATGTATATCTTTTCACTTACTCAAATTTGCACTTGCGTGCTATACTTCTATTTTGGATCTTTTCTATTTTCCAATAAGCTTTCTTATAACCTATAACCATTTTTGAAAACCCTAAACTAAAAATTTTCATTCAAAAAAATATAACAAAATGCAAAGGTTCAAAAATAAGAAAATCATAAACAAAAGAAAGTAAATAAGTTTAAGAAAGAAAATATAATATATATATATAAACTTAGTAATTGGCAAGAAGAAGAGAGGTGGTGTAGCAACATGACTGGCAAAGCAACGACTCGTTGGTTGGGAGGGTTAGGTGAGAACTTTCGTGGCGAGAACTTTCATGGCGGGTTATTGGGCAGAGAGGCAAGAGGTTTATTTAGCTGTAGATGGAGTGAAATAATAAAATAAGGCTTTGTGAATTTTTCTTTTGTATAAATTAACTTATATAAATCACCAAAAGCACCTCTAATTTATTGCTCAAAGGTTTGCCTCAGCCTTGTAGAGGCATATGCCTTATCAAAACCTACGTGATGCATACATCTTATATAAGCCTTATCAGGACCTACATGAGGCATACATCTTATGATAAGTTAAGCGTGTAGATGCACCTCTTATTGTTCAACTTTAAACATGAAATTCTAAATAACATCTATAAATCATCAAAACGAGATGTGATTATTATTTATGAAATTATTATTAGAAGATATCAACAAATCAATATTATTTGCTAATAACATGGTATTACTTAACATATGTAAGAAAACGAAACAACCCTTAAGCAAGCATCAAAATAACTAATTCATTGATAACTTCTTAGGTAATATTTTCATTGGGCGATTTCTTGTGTATCATCAAAATTTTGATTATTTACAAAACTAACATCTAACGACTATCATTTGTAATTTGGCGAAAAAATTTTGAAAGAACATAATATATATATATATATATATATATATATATATTGCCTTCATTAAATTTTCAATGAGTTGAACTTGGCTTATGCAAATACATATGGTAGTACTTTTTGGGTTGAGTGGTAGTTTTTTGTTAAAAGTCAAAATTTGGGTGGCATATGCATAATTTTTACTATTTTTAATTATATTCAAGTAGGCCATATTCTGATGCAAGTTCAACATATGATAAATTAAGCAATGTTATAGATTTTTAAATGAAGATTCACTTAGTTATTTGTTATTTGTTGAAATTTTAAGTCAAGTATAGTGCTTGAACAAGGACATCATCTTGTGGACTATTTGGATCAAGATAGTTGGTGGAAAAATTCTCACTTGCAAGGAAGATACAATAGGAAAGAAGATCAGAGAATTAGATGGATTTCTGAGATCCATTTATGTTCATGATTGCACAAAAAGATAAATATCCACTAATTCAATCACATTACATTACATAATGTACTGTTTTCACACCCACAATATTTCCGCTATGTGTTGCTAACTTTTCTTCTCTCTTATGAACGTCTCCTTCTCTCTTGATTTTAGGTAAAACAAAAACTCAATATGATTTCAAAGCTTCATTAATATGAAATAAAAAAAAGCTGATGAAATAAAAAAAATATCATATATAACAATGTCATTATTATTTTATAAATTCTTGATACTTTATTATTTCCAAACCATATGCCTTTCCTATTAAACCACCTCTCTAGAACTTATAGTTGATCCAACGTCCTTCAAAATCACCTGGTTATTGGTCGTCAAATGCTGGCAAAACTTGAGATAGAGACTAGTGAAATTGTAAAATTATAGGCGATAATAAATGTTGTATGGTACAATCCAAATGCACCATACACTATTGTTAGATCATATTGTGCAATTGTGGTAAGGAAAAAAAAATTCTAGAGCATGTTTTTTATCACTTTTTTTTTTCATTGTTTAGTTTATACCGTATTTTCTAATTATTTTATTTGTTTTTTTTAACAAATCAAATTATTTTTAAAAGCACTAAAAATAAGTTTTAAATGTTTTTAAAAATATCTAGAACTGCTGGCCACCAAAACCATCATCGTTGTCCTCCATCACTAGCCACCTCCACACTACCGGCCACCATCATATGCCTCATGCCAGCAAGGTGAGGCGGGTTTTAGCCAAGATGCGTCATAAGCCTCATAAAAAAGGCTTGAGGCGTTTTTCACTGGAATTGCGTGGAGGGCGGCCTTTAGGCGAGCCTCATATTACATAATTTTAAACAATGACCTGTTATGTAACAATTTTAGCTATTACCTATGATGTTTAATGGAGAGTGTTTTCACCTCGTCATATATATTTTTATATGGGATCATTTCTTTCAGGAAAAAGTTCAATAAGGAAGTAGGTTGTCGGATTTTGAAATGATATAAGAAAATATTCTAAAAATATTTTTTACATATATTTGTCCCACGATAGTTGGGGCATTTCAAATTATTGAATTGCTTTTTGTTTTTTCCCTAAAGGTTTATCTGTTCTTTCATATTTTATTTTTTCCAGATGTTCATGCTTGTTCTGTAATGCTCAGTTTGACAGTACTTTTATGTTATAATGTAAATCTCATGTTGTCAGTGCTTATTGAATGTATAGGCTTCTCTTTCCAAATCGTCACTGAACACCAAGGTTGGGCAATCATCATCTCTGAGTCCCATCCAGAGATGTAGATCTCCACAATCAGTTGAAAGTCAACGAATGCAAAGTTCTCCTAAAAGGGCTATTGGCGCCAGTCCCGAAAAACATCCTGGAAGTGAATCTGAAGGTCCTTTTGACATCTGTATACCTGCAAATAAAGGGGGGGTGAAATTAAAAAAATCTTTTCTTGAATCAAACAGAGAGAAAAGAAAGAAACTTGAATCTCCTGCGGGGCAACATTTAAGACCAGGAATGGTTTTGCTGAAGAAATTTTTAGACCACATGGATCAGGTTAATGCTGTTCCTTTGTTCACTATATTAAAGTTTATATTGTATGTTGTGTTTAGTAGCATCAAAGATATAAATTAGACAAGGTTCATCCATAGAATGCTTAACAACTAGGTGTTTTGGATACTGCTGAAATAACGTTATTGTATTTGAAAATGGTGGCAAGTTTTTAGGACACTAAAACATTATTGCTTGTTACGATTTACTATTCTGCTGCTCCTTGATTCCCAAATTTCAGGTAAAAATTGTGAAGAAATGCCGTGAGCTGGGTATTGGTTCTGGTGGTTTTTATAGGCCGGGATACAGGGATGGGGCAAAGTTGCATCTGCAAATGATGTGCCTTGGCAAGGACTGGAGTCCTGAATCACGATCTTATGATAAATCTCGTTCTTTTGATGGTGCTGTGCCGCCCGAAATCCCAGAAGAATTCAGAAAACTTGTGGATCGAGCACTAAATGATTCTCATGAATATACAAAAAATGTGGAAGAAATTCCAAATATGTCACCAGATATCTGTATAGTCAATTTCTACAGCAATAGTGGCAGACTTGGTCTACATCAGGTACGATTGTTCGGTTTTCTTGGTTGAATCAAATTTGCGTGTGTGCATATAATTATCTCGTGGGATCTTAATGTATAATTTGATTTTATAGATTAACTTGGGACAATTTTAAATGTTGTAGTTTATTAATACACAACGGTATTCTGTTAACTTTTTCCTTACTCCTTCAAAAACTTGTACATAAAGAAATTAGTTGACTGGTAGATCCGCTAACTAGAGCAAATATGTAGTTAGAGTTTTGAATTATGCATGCAACAACAACATCAAGCTTTTGTCCCACTACATGAGGTCGAGTACATTAATCCTTTTTCGCCATTGTGTCATATTAAAAGTCAATTTATCATTTAAATCTAAAGATAGATCATTTCTAATATTTTCTAACCAAGTCTTTTTAGGTCTACCTCTACCTTTCTTAGCATAAGTCAAATCTAGTACCTCAACTTTCCTAACCAGGTCATCGGAAGGCCTCCGTTTAATGTGACCAAATCATCTAAGGGGACTCTCTCTAATCTTATCTTCCACTGGAGCTACTCCAACCTTTTCACGTATATGCTCATTTCGTATCCTATCTCTAAGGGTAAAGACACTCATCCACCTAAACATCCTCATCTCTACAACACTTAACTTAGTATTATGCTTCTCTTTTAATGGCTAACATTCGGCACTATAAAGCATTGCATTTCTCACCACCATCTTATAGAATTTCCCCTTAAGTGTGAGGGGGACTTTTTTATTGCACAACAAGGCCGATGCATTCTTCCACTTCAACCATCCAACTTGAATTCTGCTGATAATATCCCCATCTATTTCACCATCAGTCTGAACAATAGATCAAAGATATTTAAAACATGTTCTCTTATTAATGACTTGATCGCCCAAAGTCATAATCTCCTCACTAGGTCTATTGCTATTAAAATTACACTCCATATACTCAGTTTTAGATCTACTCAAGAGAAAACCTTTAGACTCTAAAGTTGACCTCCATAATTCAAGTTTACCTTCAACTCTCTCTCTAGTCTTATCAACAAGAAGAATATCATCAACAAAAAGCATACACCAAGGTACATCCTCTTGCAAATGTCCAGTGAGAACAGCCATGACTAAAGAAAAAAGATATAAGCTTAAGTTTGATCCTTGATGTAATCCAATCGAAATAGGAAAATACTTGGTCAAACCACCTTGTGTTTGAACACAAGTAATAGCTCCTGCGCATGATATGATAAAATGTAATTAGGCATTTGAAAATGTGCAATGAAGGTTAAATCTTCTTCAAGTGATCACGTATTTGGGGTTTTATTTTTATTTATTTGTTTTTGGCTATTTTTGATTTAAATGAAAATAGACCTGTTGTGTAGTGTAAGGTAGTTTGGAGAAAAGCTCATTGATGTACTGGTTGATGTAGGGGTTTCACCGCAGAAATTGAGGTGAAAATTTTAATTGATTCCTTCTACAAAAACATCATTGATGCTTTTGACCACTACGAAATATAGGGTAGGTGAAAATGGGGCTGACAATGTCAGTTTTAGGATTCTTTTAAGTAAGAAGAGCCAATTGCCAAAGTGCATGTTTGAGTCTTAGGGGTTTTATTGCAAGCAATATATCCAGGTGTTTAGCAATTCTTTATGGAGAATGGGAACTTTTTGTTATGTTTGAAAGCTAGGAAAATGAGTGGTAATAATACCAAAGGAGGTTGACAATCTGAAAACAAGTGCTGGTGATTGATAATAAAGGCGCCAATTGTTTTTTATGTCATTTGCATCATTTCACTTACTCTTCATGCAAATTTAAGCCAACAGAGTGTAGAAATTTACCTGAAACTATTTTTTTTTTATAAAAGGAATTAAGGCTGAATGAAGGGGTTCAAGGAATTATTAGCATATTATGCGTACGCATATTAACATCATGCACACAAATATTTGTTTTTCTGATTTTAAGTCATCCATTTTCTTATTATGTTATCTATTGTTCTAATTTTTCATTTATTCAGTGGTTGCCTTACCAATTAGAATTATATTATTCAGAAAAACATGCATAGGCACTCCTTACTTTGAATATCCTTTATACGCATTTTCATATATGTAATTAATTTATTTTAATATTTTCTTTCTTTTTTAACGTACAGGACAGAGATGAGAGTGAGGAGAGCCTTAAAAAAGGATTACCTGTTGTTTCTTTCTCTATTGGTGACTCTGCAGAGTTCCTCTACTCTGATGCAAGGGATGTGGATATGCCGGAGAAAGTAATGCTTGAATCTGGTGATGTGCTAATATTCGGTGGCCATTCAAGACATATTTTTCATGGTGTTCCAGGCATTAAACCCAATACAGGGCCTGAGATCCTCGTTGACGAAAGAACAAAACTACGCCCAGGTCGCCTAAATCTTACTTTCAGGAAGTACTAAAGTTTCATTTGGAACGACTTTTTTATTGCTTCTTAAAATAGCTTTCTAATTTAAACATGAAAATTTTTATACTAGAAAGCTGCTTTAAGAAGCAGTAAGAAAACCGTTCCAAACAAAGCCTAAGAGAGGAAAAAAACTTGCTTTTTGATTGAATTGGATCTTAAAATCATTAAATTTGCTTTGAGATCAATGCAAGACAAAGTTGTTTATATAATAACAATCTCACAGCAAATTTAGTCATTTCAAAATCCATTTCCATATCTATTCTGTCATGAGGTATGGCTTTATTCCCCTGTAGTTAGTTTGTCCTGCCTTCTCTCACTTTTTCTTTTAAGATTTTCTTTCATTGTTCAGAATGATTTATATTATATTGTTTGGACAGCATTAGGCTTTTGCATTATTAATGGAAGCTTTTTGTTATCTATTCTCTACTTTCATTATGTCATAGCTACAAAGGGTTATCTGTCATCAACTGCGAGCAGCAAGCAAATGTTGCATTCTTAAGCTGTTCTCTAACTCATTATGTATAGTCTCTATAGAAAAATAATAAGGGAAGAAGTAGGGGTGATATAGGTTTTGTTTGCGACGGTTATTTTACTGTTTTGTAAAGTTATTTTAGTACAAAAATCTTAAAAAAGCGGTCTGAAGTTAGCGCAGTTGAAGGGTTTGCATGATGTAGCTGTAGTTTTTTATTAAGGTAATTGTGAAAATATTGTGAAAAAAATAAATATTTTAAAAGTTATTGCGGGTATTATAATATATCTTTTTTAAAAATTTGAAAAACAAATTTTTTAAAATTTCTATATTGGTTGTAAAAATTAGCTTCTTTATCTCAAACATTTTGTAAAAAGAACAAGAAAGTTATAGCCAAATAGAAATATGATTGCTATCTGAAAATGAAAGTAGTCAGAAACTATCCTAAACCGGCTTTAAATTAGTATGCATATCATTTTTCTATGAATATATGGTATGTGTAATTTTTTATTTTTTAATTTCATCCTCGCATAGTAAATTATTGTATGTGTAATATATGATGGAATGTTTGGAGATTTTGTTTAATTTTTCAAAATGTCATTACAAGAAAATTATAAATAAATCCTTATTCTTCATATAGAAGAGGTTGGAGCTTGCATTAACTTGAAAGTTGAGAAAATTCAATTGTCGGATAATTCAATTTGTATATCTAATACATAAATATATATATATATATA